GGATGGTAACCCTAGTGTCTATGGAACAATCCTCTAACAAATGTGTGCATGTGATGCTTAGACTTGAGATCACCGAGCGTCTTGTGCACCGATTGGTGCGTTTGACACTAGCCTAACGCAGTTCTTTTCAGAGCTGTCAATACAGTGGTAATTGGCTGTATCAAGGGTGTATCAAGATTAGGTGGATAGACAGGATCATCACTCTCGGGTACGGGAGAAATTATCTCACGGTGCAATTCATATATGGCAATGACATTAAAACTGTGGCAACAGTGGGATTGGTTGTTGCTCTATCCGGATTATAATCAGGTCATTGGTCCAAAACTGAATACATAATATCGAGAGTAACGAAGGTTGACACTATTTCTATCTTCATCTCGTCGAGATAACGTATGATAAAGGATCAAATTGTATGGTAACCATATCGTTGACAGATAGCTGCTTTGCTGAATCCGAATCTATCGGGTGACCATGATGCCTTGCTAGGGGCCAATCTTGATCTGTGATTAGTGAGACATTAATTGGTGTTAATCGCGATACGTACACTACCGGTATGATGAGGAGCTATGGTCACACACATGAAGATAATTTAAGAGCCAAGAAGAAAGAAGGGTATTTTCGTCTTTTTAGGCAAAAGGGTATTTTGGTAATTTCATAGTGCAATTAATTTGCTGGGGTCGTAGCCTTTATTTAATTGGTTAGAAATTAAATAAGTGAAATTACGGTTAAATGGTTGTTCGTACTTTAATTAAATCATCATTATTGTTAAATGTTAATTAAATATTAATTGATTTTAATTGAGATAGATGAATTAAATTAAAATATCTAATTGGGAGTGTTAGGCAACTGGGGTATTTGGATTGGAGCCCAAGCCCATTCCATGTGGAATAGGGTAACTTGGTTTGCCTATAAAGGAAAGGTGTTTGTGTGATTTGTTAATTATTCATTTTTGCCTTTTGATTAAGAAAAGAAAACACACAACACCCATACACTCTCCCACGCCACTTTCACTATTTGATTGAAAAATCAAATATTTTTTTTTCTTCTTGATTTCTTAAGGCCAAGGAGGATCTAGCAAATCCCTCCTTGGTTCTTGGTGGTTGTCTTCGTGTGGAGGATCTAGCAAATCCCTCCTTAATTCTTGGTGTTGTCTTCGTGTGACTTCTTTGTTCGATCCTACACTTGTTGGTAACAAACACGTTCAAAGACAATATTGGTGGAGCCTCCAACGTGGGTAGAATCTAAACTTTAGATTTACTTTTTCTGCAGATTCTTGATGATATCATAAACTGTAAAATTTGTGCCTTGATTTTGGGCTTTAAGGACAGTCTATGATTGTATAAAATTTCGCTTTCCGTTGCGCAAGCGGGTCGTTTCCTAACATAAACCCTTTTTAGCTCAACTTACTACATATCATTCCCATTTTGCCCTGCTCTTCTTAAAATTCCATCTATGTCCCTAGTCAAATACAATATGCCCTCATTTTTATTACATTCTCCATGAAATTCTATCTCTTTTCACTCACCAATTTTTAAATAATTTTGAGTGAAAAGACCATTTTACCCCTAATGAAAGTTTAAGGGATTTTCTTCACATTTTTCTCAAAATACTTTAACAAAATTCAACTAAGGGCCAATCAACCAAAAATAACAACATGCAAGCTCAAATGAGAACAAATCAACAAATATTCAAGCAATGCAACAATAATTTACTACATACCTCAAGTGGGGTGTTACACTGCTATTTTCAATCAGGCAACTCAGCTAGGGCAGAAAATTATGAAATCCAAATGAAAAAATTGGCTTTGGCAGAATATGAGAAGATAACAAAATTTTATTCAAAGATTTGAATTCCATAACCGATCAAAGCCTACGTGAGTTTTTTCAAAATGAGCAATCAAGAATTATGTAAAAAAGAGCTCAACAACAAGTCAAAGATCTTAAAATAACTCTAGTTTTTTCTAATTTTTGATGATCTTAGAGGATCTGAAACTAATCTACAAGAATACTAAATTGTTATTTTAGTTTATGTTGTATTTTCTTTTAATTTTAGTGTTTTTAAATTAGTGTTAATTTTTATTTTGAGTTATTGTAGTTTAATATATGCATTGAACAAAGTTTGTGTTTTAATTTTTCATCATTTTTGGAATTATATAATTATTATGAATTTATTATTATAAATATATATAAATAATAATCAAATTAACTTAAATACAATAACAACAACATTACTATTTAAACAGTGCCACGCCAAATTTGGCGTGGCACTATAGCGGGACACCAATTTGGTGCAGCAGATGGCACTGGGTTGGAGTTGAAATTTGCGTTATTTTGGTGTTTTTACACCAAAATAACACAGGGTTGGAGATGTCCTAACCTGTTGAAATGAAAGGACATTTGAATTTGTAGATTGGCCTCCTTTTCAATATGAAACTATGTTGTTAGAAATTTAGAATAAATAGACATTTTGAGAATTTTGGTTAATCAGGCTTTAAAAGGGTTATTATTTTTGACCCTTGAGGGGCTATTTGGATCGGGGGTAAATAAGATAACGAGGGTAGTATTCGTTTATTTTGCAAGATTCATGTGTTTGGTTTGTAAGTAATAAAATATTATTGTAATCATTTATTGCAAATAGTGGTTACTATTGGTAATGTGGGGGGTAATCTTATTACCTTGCTAGAGTTGCTATTAAAACATTACTGGGGTAATATATTTTTCTTCTCTCAAATGTCTACCAAATAACAATTACACAACCCACCTACATTTGATAAATTAGCTAAAACACCCCAGCCATAAAAAAGTTTAAAAGTTAACAAAATACCCCTAGCCACCTAAGACCATTGCCGGCCGTGACTCACCACCGTCGGCCGTCGTAATAGTGCACGATCGGCGGGATTTGGCTGGTAGTGCCTCGATAAGGCCTTTTTGGGCCATGGATCTGGCCAGATCTGGCGTTTCTATGGCCGTTAAGATCTGGCCTTTTCAGTTGCCAGTCTGGCCGTGAAAAGGCCATGGATTTGTGATCCGTGGCCATTTTCGGCTTTGCTGGTGCACAACAGGCCATGTATGGCTAGTCTTGCACCATTCCGTCGACTGCCCGTGGCGGCCGACGATGGTGGCTCACTGGCGGCAGTGGCTTGGGATGGGTGGGGGTGATTTTGGTACAAATTAAAGTTTTATATGGCTGGGGTATTTTAGCAAAATTTCAAATGTAGAGGGTTAAAAGAAACGATTCAAAAAATAATAATAAAAAATATTATTATATTAATATTTAAAAATGAGGGCAATAGTAATCTATATATAACATACCCATCCATTTATCCTCCTAGCCAAACATATTATTCACCAATTTATTCGAACTAACCAAACACATTTTCTAAACATTTCAAGTAATCTTCAAGGTGATATTTCTTTCCGTTAATAAACCCCTATAACAAAATATTATATGATCCAAACGTCCCCTGAAAGGTAGTAAAATATATAACGTACCCACTATTGTTTAAAAGTATCATATATTATTCATAGGGATTGTGATACTTTTTGAAAGTGGTAAATGCTAATCTCAAGGGGGTATACAAATTTTTCAAAAATTGTGGGTGTACTTTGTATGGAGACTCGGAATATAAAATCATATATTTATAATATTTTTCGAAAGACCAGAGCATCAAGTGGGCGTGCCGGAGTGGTTATCGGGCATGACTAGAAATCATGTGGGCTCTGCCCGCGCAGGTTCGAATCCTGCCGCTCACGACTTTTTCATCTTTTTTTCAACGAAGTTTTTAATTCTTGACATTTTTTTTTTTTTTTTTAACTATATGAGCGAATGTTAATTTTTACCTTATTATCAATAATATTATTTGTTGTTTGTTATGCCTAAAATATATATTTTAAGTCATCTCCACCAATGGGATTCAACAAGCACATGGAGACAAAGTATGATAGTTGTCTGATTCTTAAACCGGTTTAGAATGATACTTACGTCTACAACTACCGTAATTTCATTAAATTAAGGACATGATTAAAAGGTTTCAACAAATAAGAAGGAATGAAGATCTTTACCAAATAAAGGCAATTTACAAAAACACTCATTACCTTAAGCTTAAAAGAGTATAATCCACTCCTCCCAATGAGATTGATTAGCGAATTCACACACTTATTCTACAACAAAAATAACAAAAACACATTGTTAGAAAGAAACTGGCTTATCATTCCCTGAAAACACTTCGAACACTTGTAACCTTTAAAGGTTGCATAAGACATCGTTCTCATTGTAATCTTCATTAGCAATCACAAAAGAAAACATAATACAAACACAGTAAAAGTAAGACTTACTCATAGCATCTAAACTACTCTAAATCTCCCTCTTATCAACTTGTTATTAATGCATTAATTAGCAAGCAACGTGGTTGCATCATAAATATTTTTACAATCATCTCATGTTCTTAACACTTTACATGTGCATAATTGTTGGTGTAAAAATTACTGATCAACTTTTTTATTAGTACAAAGTTTAGAATCATATTAAAAAATTTATTTAAATAAATGTTTACTTAGTTATGTACACTCTGATGACATATAGAGGTTATCGGACAACTCGGTGATTGAAAAAGTTTCAGTCTTTCAGATGACATTTTATAAAACTATGAAATTGCGGTATGGTGCAGGAGTAAACCAAATTATCGATGCAACACATTTATCAAGCTTTTGTTTCCCAACCGAGGAAAGGCTCTTTTTCACAAATATTTACAGAAAGCTAACTCAAGGCTTAGCCTGCTCTTGATCAATCACAACCACCAAAATTAAGGCTAAACCAAACAACTTTTTTTTCAATAGAACTGCTTCTCAATACTCTATACACTAGCTATATAACATTGGTGACTGAAAAAATAAACTTCACTTGGCCATCACTTACTCCTTACTAGAGGGTCATCTTCATATCATTACAAAACTACACTGGACAGGAAACCCAAAGCTGTCTGAAAATGCCCTGTTCCTAGTAGCCTAAGATAAGCAAAAAGACTAATAGTCTGGCCCATGGCTCAGCCTTTGGGTCATTTAATGTTCATGGCTACTGCCATGGCACGTAGCTCCTTTGAAATCTCTGAGAAGGCTGGCCTAGAGTCAGGATCTGATAACCAGCACCTTTCCATCAATGATCTCCAACTTGGATCACACCAGTTTGGAATTTCAGGTCGGAGAATGCCTTTGATTATGCCAGCTGAAAACATCACAGTTGAATGTATAAGGACATATGGATCAACCAAAATCAAACAAGATGCCACTGCACCATTCTGCTAACCATAATAGAAATTATGGAGATGATTAAAATAATTTCTTACTTTTCAATAAATAAATGGTAAGAACCGACAACCATGATATATGTTAAGCAATAAATTATTTTAAACTCAGATAATAACAATATCCATTTGATAGAATTACAAAATTTGACACTAACGAATTCTTATCTTTGGTTCTGCTGTCCACATTGAGTCATCAACCACAGAAAATTTGTTTTGTGTTTGTAATGGGATTTGACAAAGATTAGCTGATACAATAAAATATAAATGTACATATAATATATGATGAGTGAGATGAAGACTACAGAAGCAGTGAGAGCTCTGGGGGCTAGAAGCACTGAAATATGGCAAGGTAAAAGACAAAACGTGAACATCAAAGTTGAAGAAAATGCAAGACACCACTTGAGAATGTGGGTTAGATAACACAATGACAAGGATAATGACGTCACAACATTTGCATTCAGTGATTATTTGAGTATCTAAATTAACAAGTAGTTGAGAACAGTAGTAGTCTGAAATTGAAGTGTACCTATTATTTCCTCCGAATACAAGTCTGCATAAGGTTCCTCTCCAGTTAAGAGTTCCCACATGACTACTCCAAATGAGTACACGTCAATCTAGCAAAAAGATTCAACAAAAAAATAAAAAACAAAAACAGTTATGCAACTGGCAACAATACTCAACAATAAACTTCAATGACTGACCATTTTACCTTTTCTGTTACTAGGTTGTTCTTATTGTTCAGAAGCTCTGGCGCCATCCAAGGTATGGTTCCTCTTACACCACCTGAGATGAGTGTCTTCTGTTTGATTTTTGATAAGCCCAGATCACCAATCTGACAAAATGTTGAAATTTGTAAGTTGCTTAGCTAAATGAATAAATGTAAACTTAAGTCATTGATCAAGCAACAGAAATGGTACAGATATTCAGACCCAAAGCACATAATTTTCTTGTACAGATACCTTGCATACTGGTCTTTGAGGATCCCTCATGTTCACAAGGAAATTATGAGACTTCAGATCAAAGTGGACAATGTTCTTCTCATGTAGATATTCCATACCAAATGCTGCATCCATTGCTATAATTAACCTCTTCCGACGATCAATTGTCCTGTAAATCAAACCACCCAATTAAGGGAAAAAAAACACAAAGACACGTACTGAGTATTGGTTCCCACTGAGTGAAAATTATGCCCATCATAAGATTGCAACATGATGTATGATAGCAGAATTCACAAGATACAGCTCCATTTGACACAAATGTAAAGAAAAAAATGCTATAAAATTTTTTAGGGGCACAAGCCAGGTGTGGATGGACTAACAATTCGCACTATTTTCCAATTTAACTTTCAATTTCAAGATGTTCATGCTCTAACGAATGCAGAATTCAAGGTGATAATTCAAACTACTGGAAAAAGAAAATATTACAATTCAAATCACATTAACTTAAGTTCCTATAATATCTTCCTTGCATTATATTATAAATATAGAATGATAGGATAATTTACCGATCTTTCCTTTGTAGAACTTGTTTTAGGGAGCCATTTACCATGTATTCTGTCACTGTTGCCAAATTTGTTGCTGGCCCATCAGTAACTACACCATATAAGGCCACAATATTTGGATGGTGAAGCTGACCGAGCATGTGAGCTTCCCTCCAAAAATCTGCAACCTGCGTGGATGTATTGTCAACAATTGTACAAATGATATTTGCATTTCTCTTTAGGCAAGCAGGAGACTCAGGACTTTGTTAACTCATAGAACAAACCTCTTTTCATTTTCAATATATTTTATTGTCTATTATACATTCTATAGTTTTCAATAGTTAAGACACTTAAACCAGAGCTGCCCAATAAGAATGTGGGAAAGAGACAAAGGATAGGAAGGCTTCAAGCTTGAGAATGAAAAAGAAATCGACCAACAGCCTTATACAAAATTGATCAGTACATCTGGTGTTTATACTTAAATAAGGCACAAACAGATACATTTGACATCCTTAACATTAAATAGCATTTTAAAAATGTTAGAGCAACATAAGACTCAAGAACAAACCCCTCATGACAAAATGATGTTTAGATTGACGTGTTTAAATTGACAAAAGAGATTCTAAGTCCAGATCCAATATATAAATGATTCATATCAGATACCTATGCTATTAGTAAAAGTAATTAAATAATGAAAACTTTTTCAGATTGAACTTTGGAAAGAAATATGCATGATTACCAGTCGATCCTCCTCCAATGAATCTTCAGTGAAGCAGCTTGGTTTCATCCTCTTAATGGCGACATCAGATCCCCTCCATTTTCCATGGAAAACAGTTCCAAATGTACCCGATCCAAGTTCTTTTATATATTCAAGATCAGAATTTTTTATAGTCTGCAGAACAGTACAGAATTACAAGCTGTCTTCATATTCCATTTAAATGATAAAAGAGACAAATCAGACATGTTTGACAGGCTACCTGCAGCTCTCCAGCAGTTAAATGAGCGAAGAACGTTGTCAGGTGACTAGAGATTCCACCAATTATCTTTGGAGATTTATAGCTCAATTTGGCGTCACCCTAAGAAAAAAAAAAAGCAATTAGTCAATCAAGCCAATGAGAACCGCATCCAACTATCAACCAATGAAACTAGTGAGCATATAATATTGCCTCATTTGGCTCAAATCATCATATATCTTTAAGTAATACCTTTCCTTCGGGGCATAAACCAGGATCCTTCTGAACTTCTTCTCCATGCACAGCAACTCTTCTTGCTTTAGCTGCATTCTGCGAAGAAGAACTAGATCTGACCCTGTTTGATTCATCAACTACAAGGCCTGCACTGAATAGTCCTTCATCCACAGGATCTAAAGGCTTTGGTTGAGACTTCAACAAGGCATCAGAGACAACACTGCCAGAAACAGAAGAATTCTGGGGAGTATCAATTCCTTTGGATGATGACAATGAGAGGTTATACAAAAGATCCATAGAAGATGCAATTCCGTCTTGCAAATTTTTAGTGCTATTTGTCAAGTTGCGTCCTAATGCTGCTTCATTTCTATGGTCCATTTCATTTGAAGGACCAGAGATATTAGCATTCTCCAGTGAGCCAACCAGGAGTTTTTCAGTCTCAAGATCACTACAATTGGATGCATAATTGGTGGACATTCGATGAAAATTCACATGGAGAGTGTTATATAGAGCTTCATTCTTCTCAAACTCAGAGCCAGTCAATAGATCTTCCCGAGGTTCCATCACCCTTACACATGATGATGGAATCTTAACAGCATCAGATGACAGGAAAGATTGATTAACCACACCATTGCAGAAATCATGATAGGCTAAATGACTCTCCTCCGTATTTGAATTTCCATACTGTAAAATTGCATGCGCATCCTGCTCTCTAAAAGTCGCCTTCCCATATTGGATACCAAAAGGGAAGATGCCTTTGTTTAAGCAAGAAGCCATCATGCTCGCCCCACCCTCCAATGCATGCTCTGCGAAACCTGGCCACAGCTTCAACAAACTGGGATCATATAATCCCATAGACTGCTGTTGCTCTGAGATGTTTGAATACGGCTTGATCCCAAGATAACATGTCCCCACCGTGCTATCAAGTCTAACACCTCTATGGTTTCCTGCCTCAACAAAATTGTTCCTATGATTTCTCATATAATAAGGATGAATTCGATGATTTCTATAATCATACACACCAAACCTATGGTTTGGAATTCCATTCTGACAAGAACCTGAAACCCTGTCACCAAAATAGGAAGATTTCCCAGGATAGTTACTCCCAACGTGCTGATTGTTGCAATTTGATGGCAAGTGAGTTTTCACTGAACAACAATTCACAGCCCAAGGCATAATGTTTTCCCTATTGAAATTACTGGTTAAGACCTGCCCCTTACTGTTAAAATGCTTACCATCAAAACCATTACGCACAGAAACCACACCACAATCATACAATTCCTTTGACGGCAGTGAAGACTGACCTGTATTCCCAGTTTTACCCCCGCCCCCATTACACAAACCTGAACTAGACCGCCCCACTAAAGGTTCCATTGGACCATTTGTTTCCACTCGCAGATTTCCATCCCTCGGATTCAATGGATGCAAACGCTCATTTCCCATTCCATTAAACAAGAAAATTTTCTCTCCATAAGGATCCCTTTGTATAGTTGAAAACCTTGGTTGGGGTCCTAAATGCGAATCCATAAATTGATGCTCGTAATCCCTTTTAGTTTGTTTTGCTAATAAGCGTTGTTTCAAAACCATTTTTCTTAACAAATCTTCATTACCTCCTTTCTCAATCCTACTATTATTACCACGTTCAATTTCACTGCATACAAAAACCCAAAGCCTTCCATACTTACCGTACAGTTCCAGTTTATCATACTCATCAACCATGCACTTGACGTCATCGTCCGACGCGATCAACACCACAGGCATCTCGTCGTCAGCCTCATTGTCTTTACGCGAAGGGCCGGTCAAAGGAAGCTGGTACCTGAGAGTGAAGGAGCGAATGTTGGGGCATATATCTGAAATCTTTAAACGGAGTTTGGAGAAAGAAATGTTTCGGTCAAGAGAGACTATACGCGCCTCTCCGCCAATGTAGCGGAGCTTATTGGAAAGCGGTCTGATGTGGAATTCGCCATTGAAGCTACAAACTAGCTTCAGTTTGGAGGTGGGTTTCTTGCGGATACGAGAGAGAGAGTGTTCTTTCATGGCAGAGATGGTGTGTGCGTTTGTGTGCGTACTTCTTGCTTATTATATATGTGTGTGAGGCGGTTTGAAGTTTGGGTTTTGTTTTTGACTTAATTACGTTGTTGCCATGATCTCAGGTGTGTTTTCTGTTGGGAATTTGAAGTATATTATTACTTAATTACCCTTCAACTTGTTTTTAAATTACCGCTTTTTTGTCTTGTCGTTTTGTTTATAAATTTCATATTTAATGCTTGTATTCGTCTAAATAATAGTTGTTTGTCGTTTGTACCAACCTAAAGAAGCTGCAATCAATAAATTATTTTGCTTCTTTACACTTGCTGCTGTAGATATGATACGAGCTTAAGAATTAATATGCAAAATCTGGTCTAAGCATGCTTTTGATAATATATATATATATATATATATATATAACATAAGATTATAGTCCCATTAAACGTATTAGACTATGATCTTAAATTAATAAGAAGAAGAATTGAGAAATTGACGTTGAAAAGAAAAATAATTCAACAATGAGACTAATGTATGAGATCAAACATTAGTTTGGAAACGGAGTAACGATTTGTCAAATCCAACAGTTTCTAATTTTATTGCATATAAATACATAAACAGGGAGAAAATTCCAAAGCTTCGTGTCTATTTCTATATCTAATTTGTCTTTGTACACTGCATCATTGATCATACCATGTTATTCCAAAGCTTTCTATATTTAATTGTTTTAATTTGATTTTTTAATTGGTCCAATTATACCCTTCAATAATTCAAATTGGATCAAAATATTCTTCAATCTTTTGATCAATTGTTCTGATAAGAATATAAATTAACATAAGGATCAAGAAATGTTAAGTTACATTGGCGCACAATAGCATGCCAGCTGCATAGTATCTTATACTGTACATCACGTTTAGCATATTCTCTAAATCTGCACACGTGGATCCTTGAGATTTGACGTGGCCATTTGGGCATAGAATTGATTGATCCACGGCCACAAGTTAGGTGTTGGTCAGAGTCAGAATGATTTAATTGCATACGTGGAGCATTGAGAATACACGTAGCGTTTTAGGCCTTTCGGTTAAGTGATCCACAGCCACAAGTGAGCTTTTGGTCAGAATGGCAGTCCCTCGAGATGACTGCCACGTAACGACATAAAGGGTACGTAGTGAAAATGTGGGTCCATTTTAATGACTTTTTTTAACACGTGGAAATTACTTTTGGGCATTTGTTGGACAAGTTTTGGTCAGATTCTGTGTCAATCCTAGTAATGCAACAAGTAGGTCCAGTGTTGGCCATAAGCCCACATCGAATAATTATCATTTGGGATGACTTCACGACTAATCAGGAGAAACCAAAAGTTAGATTATTATTCTACATATCGATCTAATAATATAAAGTCGAAATAATTTAAGGTAAAGATAAGTTTTAAGAATAGAGATTCTTGATGTACTCTTTCATAAAAGGTTGAGCATTAAATACAATTGGGAATTGAATGTCGGTAAAAAAGGAGTAAAGAGTATGAATAATGCAAAATGGACATGACATGGTTAGGTGATGATCTTGAAAGGTGGCCAATGATATTAGTTGCCACATATATGATATGCATACAATAATCCAATGTTTCAATGAAAAATTGACGGACATGATTATAAAGGTTAGGCAGTATATGTTCCAATAATGTTACAAAAACGAGTTGGATATGTGATGAATCAATCATTTGTATGGTTAAAATAACGTTATATCATTGGATATCTCAAATGATCAAAAAGTTAATAATAATCATCACAAATATGTAATTTAGTTAAGGTGTGTACAAACAGGATATCTTAATCATAAAAAAAAAAAAAAAAAAAAAAATTTGAATAAAGGCAACAGTTGAGCTGGGACACTATAGTATGGCTCAAGCAAAGTCAATAAGATTCACTAGGCCTACAATATATGTATACTTATATTAAGATTTAAATAAAGAAGTTGTATTGGCATCAAAAAGTGCTAAACGTAGAAAATATCGTCACCCATTCATTTACAAGAATTTTCAACATCTCACATTAATTTAGATTAATTAATTTCAGTGGAGTAATGGTACATTGTATCTGTATCGTTCAACTGATTATCAGATTATGACAATAAAATAAAATAATAATTGCATGATTCTCATACCTTAGAACACCTTTATTTATGGAATCTACCGAAATCACAAGGTGAGTGGCGGCCTAACACGGAAATCACACAATTTTGATGGCGATGGCTTATCTTTCACGTTCAAGCTTTACTTGACTTCAACTAATCAACTCCATCCACATCACATGATTTTGCACTTGATAATGCTGCATTCATGGCTTCTCCTCTACTTCAGGATGTGGAATCGTGGAAAAATATGAGAGCCGTTGGAAATTTGCATACGCCTACTTTAATTTATTTGTTACTGGAATCTTCTGTTTAAAGAATGAACAACTCAATCCCCTATGGTCATAATGTCTCCAGCACTGCGTACAGAACAGTGTTACCAACAACTTAAAAGACAGATTGTTGCATCTATGACAAAGAGAACACATACATCAATGAGTAATTACAAGAGAAAATGTTTATAGAAGAACTGATTAAAAATCATTCCTGGAATCTGGTAATGGTTGTTGTATGGTAGTAAGAATTCCAAAATCCATGATTTTGGTACAATAGGAAACATGGTGAATAAATAGAAACAATGCCAGACAATCTGATGCTTTCTGCATTGGAGTCATGACTCTTTAATCCTTTTAAAATATATGAGTGCAATATTTCTAATTATTGTCCAAGACTTTCACCTATCTATCTCTGTGGAGAGATCTTTGAGTAAAATGTTCAGGACTGATACCTCTTTATGAATGGGATTTGAGAAAGAAGAGTCTTCAGGTTAGCGGGATCTGGGATACACTGAACCGCTACCTGGCACCCCGTGTATCCAATACAGTGCAGTGGATCCTCCACGACCAACAATGACAGATGTAGTTAGTGTGTATGCTTGACAGAAACATGACAAATTGAGAAATCTAAAATGGGATCCGGCTCTGTCAATCACATAACAGTTTCAAATGTACAAATGGGAAAAAATCTAAGATTTCAACCAATAACTATAATTTATTAACGAAGCTTTCAGTTGGTGCACCAACTAACCATGTTTTTCTTTGCTTTGGCAGAACAATATACGTTTCACAATTTATAAATTGAAATATAGAAAACAGAAGATCGGTATTATGCGTTCAGCCTCCCCAAGTCAATAGTAGCCCTTCCCCAGACAGTTCAGACAGCGCTGCACCCTGTAATGTGAAATATTTGGAGAAATCATCAAATCAACAGACAAGCATCTCCATAAAGATTAAAGAAGCAAAACATAACTAATCACTAATTTATCACTCGGCTTTTATTATTGAAAAAAGCATGCTGACATCCAGTATTCCAAACATTAGTTAAAATCTTTTATCACATTTTTTAATTGGACTTACACTTACTCATGGGACTCCTGCCTAATGACATTATTTTCTCATCCTTATATTAATTGGAGAACTTAATGAAAACGAAAATACAATGTAGAGCAACTAATTTCTGATGTGAATCTCATTTAATAAAATTACCACACAAAAAGAAAGAACCTAATCACAAGAGTATCTTACATTAACAACTATACTTCATAAACTACAATGAAAAGGAAAGAGATGACTAAAATGTTATTTTTTGGGAGGTAGCTGCTCCGCATATCCTTTATTTTCCTAACTTCTCTCAGAAACGAAACTATAGTCGGAAGAAAAGTTGCTTTCCAGAAACAAGAACACACCATGGAAAGGAAAAAAAAAAAAACCTCACAAAAAGTGTGTATAGTTTTGGCAAACTGAAAATGTTTTCAGAAACCAAGCATCGAAAACATAAAAAAAAAGAAGAACAAAACGACTAACCTGTTACCATCACATGTAGGACAAAGACAAGGGTTGATAAAAATAGGGTCATACAAAGGCGACCACTTTATAGTTGCATTTCCTTTGCATAACTTACATTTATAAAATCCTTTCCCTTTACAAGACCCACAAGGCGCCGCGACCTTTTTCTACAAAATGTAAAGCCGCAAAAACCAATCTCATCAACATATAACAATGAACAACTCAAACAGGAACGAAGTAGTGACATTAAGAGCAAGACACGATGGTTCTCATTTAGTTTTTACCCGTTTCGCTTCAGTGACAGCACGAAGCGCACCTATCGTAATCGTTGAAGCGAAATTGAGGGTGACAAATCCACCAAAGATTATTGTAGCACTTGTGCCCAACACCTGCAGTGATTTTGGTATCATCGTCACACTTTCACTCTCTCCCACTTTTCTTCGAACAATTTCAGTGCATACAAACCGACTTCAGTTTATCCTGGCAGTTGACGCCTGACGGTTGACGCTCTCAGACTTCGTATATTTAGAAATTTCCAGCAAAACGCACCGTCTTAGTTTATAATTCATTAATTCGTCTATCCAGTAAGACTTAGGTGGGGCCAGCTGGGTAAGTAGCAACTAGCAAGGCGCTGAAATTACAAAACTGCGCCGACTTAAAAAAAAAAAAAAAAAAAAAACAATTCAATTCAATTCAAAATTTAAAAATAAAAATACATTAAAGAAGCCGAGTCTGCCACGTCAGCTCCCATCGAGACGAGACGCCCTATATTTTCCTTAATCAACATTTTCTCTTTCTTTCTAGTTTCTCGCTTTAGGTAAGGAGTAAGGAACCCTAAATGAGCTGCTCTATCTCCTTCTCTCTCTTCGAAAATCTTTCTCTCTCTTCGAAAATCTTTCTAATTAGTCACTTCTAGGCCTTCAAATCTGTTTAATCTGAATCATAAATTATTCTATCGGACGTTTCAAAGTTTCTGGTAATGATCTAAATCGAATTATTATGATTTGTATCTTTTCTCAACTTTTGACCCGTTTCGGGGTCTGGTTTTGGCCGGATCTTGTCGATTGATGTATATTTAATTCAATCCTTAGATTGAACTGGTTCTTGACTTTTTATTGGATTCGTTCCATGTATTTTGATTTCTGGCCATGTGGACTTTGGGATTATGTGTTTTTGCTATTAATTTTGGATTCGAGGTGAGAAATTGGTGGCTGTTAGCTTACTTTAAAAAAGTTGGATTTGTGAAGTTTGATCTTCGTTTGCGATAATTTAATGTTTCCAATAGTTGCTATGGTTACTTTTATTGTATATTCAAAGTTGTTAGCTGTGATTTTAATTCCTGTATTGTATTGGCAATTATGAGCTGTTGAGTTTTACTGTTATTCTATATCATCTAGGTTGCTGCTGGTGTTGATGTTATAGTCATCAGATTATACTTGAGTTATCTGTTCTATTATTCATAGAAGTTATTTTGGAAATAATTTCGGTATAGGTATTACTTGCTAATGAGTTTTGTTAATGGGAAGAGCAAACAATTTGGGGACGGAATAAGTTATCAATTTCTTGATATTGGAGTTTTAATGATGTGACAATGGCGATGGCTATCCATGTGTTGATTTTAAATGGAAGACCAAAAGGATGTGAACTTGGTTGTGAGACAATATATTGTTGTTTTATGGTTTTAGCTGAAGATTTTGCTCCCCAGAAAAGGATTTTGTTTGGCCAACTTTCAAGTGGTTGGGCTTTAAGACATGTTAAGTTGTGTAGTTTCTTTTGGCAGATTACTTCTAATTGTAATCATTCCTTTGATTGAGATAGAAGATTGAAATGGTGGTGGTCTTCATGGATGAGTGACTGCAATTCTTGGGTTATGTCATTGTTGCTCTTAATATGACAAAAATGATCAAATGCTGTTTTAATAATGTGATATGTAATTGTTGCCATACAGATCATGCCTGTACTTGGGACTCACCAGCTATTCAATGGTCTTAAATCTTGGTAACATGACTTGCTGGTGCTTTTCTCCCTCCCTCCCTTTCTGCTAATGCCTTTCGGATTTTATGTTGATATCCACCCTTTTTCATTAATATTATTTCCTAGGAAGTATGCCTGGGAGAATGCTGAGGAGATGTAGCAAGGGTATTGATATTTATGTCTATAGCACAGGGTGAAGAATCTTAGTATCACTTATCCATTTTATCCTATTTAAGATAATATTTCTGCTCTATGGAGTCATTGTTTTTCCTTAAATTATGTAATCTGTGTACATTTTTATGATACTGATGGGAATTTGAGAGTTCTTACTAATTCACACATGTTCTTGCATAGTATATTCATATATCTATTTCTTTCTGTAAACACTGTAATTCTCTAAGCCTTGATTCTCTGTGTTTGATATACTTTCGTGTGCCAATTCTTTTCTTTTATTAGACTTGTAGGCCTTTCTTTTGATGAATTTTTAATACATAAAGCATGCATTTATTACATTTTGGTGAGATCTTTTGTGTTTTGATTTATTCAGTTGCTGCCTTTCTGGAGGCACTGGACTTTAGAGTTTGTGTTGATATAATAGAGACTTCAACATGCCAAAGGAGAGAAGAGATCGTTCTGTCTCTTTTGATAGATGCAAGACATCTCCTTATCCATGCAGCTCTAGTCATGCTCAGAGATCTTCTGCTAAAATCCCTTCCGAAACTGAGGAAAATTTGAAGGAATGGGAAGATGCGAGGTGCCCTGTTTGTATGGAACATCCTCATAATGCAGTTCTTCTCTTATGTTCTTCCCATGAGAAGGGGTGCCGGCCCTACATGTGTGACACAAGCTACCGCCACTCCAACTGTCTTGATCAGTTCCGGAAGTCATTTGCTGAAACCTCATCAGTGATACCACATCAAGAAGAAACCCAACCCACAAACTCAGTCTCAATTGTTACTTCAGAAGTAGCAGTTACTGATTTGCAAGAAGAAAGAAGTGAGGAAGGTTCCTCAACGCCACATTCTGTGTCTTGTGAGAAGAAGGCGCCGCCAAAGATAGTGTGCCCACTTTGCCGTGGCCATATTAAAGACTGGATAGTTGTGGAAGATGCTCGTCGGTTTATGAATGCAAAGACAAGGTCTTGTTCCTGTGAGACATGCAATTTCAGTGGCACCTACACAGATCTCAGAAAGCATGCTAGGCTGGAACATCCCCTTGTGCGGCCATCAGAAGCTGACCCAGAGCGGCAGCATAATTGGAGAAGATTGGAGCGCCAGAGAGACCTTGGGGACTTGCTCAGCACACTTCAATCTTCGTTTGGAGAGGAGGGGGCTGATAGTAGTATTTTGCCGATTGATGATGGGGGTTGGCTTACTGTATTTTTTCTCATTAGAGTCTTTAGACCTGGGTCTAATCCAAGGAGAAGTAGCTGGTCCAGTACTTCAAGAGCCAGAGCACACCTGAGTATTAGGAGGAGATCTACCCGACTTTGGGGGGAGAGCTATGATGGGGAAACAGGATCTTCTTCCAGAGACGACGATAATGACTCTTCAGATGGTGGATCAGTTCCACTTAGGCGCAGTGAGCGCTTAAGGCGGCAAACAACTCCAGACAACCAGCCTTAATGGCATATCCCTTGCTGCATCTGTATGATTCTTTTTGTTTGGAATTTCCACTGTAAGAAATGATGCAACTTTCTGGTGCTTTTTTTTTCCATTATTTTGCTGATGATGGCAATCAAGTGTGAGAAACGGGAGTTGACTGCTTGTGTTGTGTTTCAGGTGGAGCACAATGGGATAAGAATGGAAGTAATGCTCGAGGTTTGGTCTATTCCACATCCTGTGGAACAGACTTTGTTGGAGTTGATGGATACTTATCGGAGATTTGTCAAATTGTAATTTAAATGAACTTTTAATTAACTACATATCTTTTTGTCTGAAGCAGCTCTTTTCTTTTACTTGGCATTTGTTGGTGCTGCTTCTGTCGGAATTGTCTTTGAATTTGTTAAATAAAAATTTATTAATTTGTGCCGTTCAAATTAGTGGCCAATTTGGAGGGTTGTTGCTAGTTCAAGGGCGTTTGGTTGGGTTGGGTTTTATGTGAAATTATTGGGTTTAAGTTATCTTATATTACTTTATTATCATATTTAGATTATTAAGTAATATAACATTCTGGTAATCTTTAAATATTAATAGTGGTTACAGTTGGTAATATTTGAGCTAATCTGATTACCTCAATTTTGTAAGATTATTTGGATAATTTTTTTCTTTTTACAATTCTATATTTGGATAATTTTATTTTTTTGCCAATTCTATCTCTTATTAATAAAATTTTAGACAATAATGTCTTTATTTTTAAATTTATTTACATAAATCTTGTTTTTACCATTTCACCTCATTTAATTAATTTTTTTGGATAAATTTACTCTTTGAAATCAAAACAAATTTCAGCTTACCCAAGTCACCACTCTTATCCACTTGTTGTTGCCTGTTGTCAGCCAAACCACTATTGGCTGTCGCGGGAAGTTGTTGGAAGTCACCTGAAGTCATCGTGAGCAGCCCATTGTGATCAAGAGGCCTCGATATGGCCCACCGTTGGCCATTTTCAGCAAGATTTGGCCTAATATGGCCGTTTTCAGCCATCAATATGACCAGAAACGATCATATCGGAGCCTCGTGGTCACAATGAGCTACTCACGGCGACTTTAGGAGACTTCCGACGGTGGCAACAAGGGGTGGCTAGACCTGGCAATGGGGTGGGGCGGGGATCTCATTCATCGTACCCATCCTCGCCCTCAAAATCACTCCCCACCCTCGCCCCATCCCCGTTACGGGGATGACAGGAATTCCCAATCCCCGCTTCAAAGGGGAATGTTGGAGGCCCGTCCCCACCCTGTTAATTTTATATAAACATAAATTAATTTGAGCATGACCAAACATAATAGTTAATTCTCGTCCACATAACAAACACTTAAATTAATCGTTTAAACATAATTAATTATACATAAATATGGGTTAGGGTTTGTTTTTGTTTAATTGTTTAGGGTAAAAGAAATTGGGAAAATATGAGTTTATATAGGTATGATAATTGTGTAATTAGGTGAAATATATAGATATTAGTGAAAAGTATATATATATATAATTTTATATATTATATACGAGGCGAGGCAGGGTGGGGTCGAGGAAAGGCATCACCCACCCCCGCCCCATCCCCGAGGACGGGGATTAAAACACCCCCCACCCCTATCCTTGAAAAAACTGAGGCTTCCCTGCCCCATATGGGAGGGGGCGGGTCCCCGGAATTCCGGGGAACATTGCCATGCCTAGCGGTGGTAGAGAGTGGGGGTGATTTTGTTATAAATTAAAGTTTTATAAAGCGAGAGTGTTTTAGCTAAATCTGAAATATTGGGGGTTAAAAAAATTATTCAAAAATTAATAATAAAAATAATATTATATTAATATTTAAAAGGAGGGCAATTTAGTAATTTAAATAACATACCTACCAATTTATTCCCTCTAAACAAACATATTAATATAACATACCCACCAACTAATCAAACACATTTTTTTAAAGATTCATAATAATCTTCAAGGTAATATAAGATTCTAGTAATCTAACATTCTCTAATCAAACATCCCCTCATATTGCTCTGACAACAACTAAGGTATAATTAAGGAATAATGATGTAGGACTATTTTCAACGAGATGAAGGATTTTTGTATTATCATATCTTTACCCTATTCAAAATACACATTTGTTTCCCTATTTTGAAAATTCTATTCTATTTTATTTAAATATTTTTAAATCTCTTAGGTTTGTTAATTTAACTAAACACAAAAAAAAAAAGTTTAAAAATTGATAAAAAAACTTCCACCCACCCACATTTGTCAGATTTCGACCACCATCGTCGGTAGGTGGTCGGAATCTGGTATAATGGGGCATTACCGACTGGATCTAGTCGGTAGTGCGTCAATCTAACCTTTTTGGGTCAAATTCACCATGGATCTGGTCGTTGACAACTAGATCTTTAGCCGTAGCTAGTCGTCAACGACGACCAAACGCGGTCAGATCTAGCCACCAACAACCAGATTTAGCTGTAAATCTGGTCTTTTCTGGACAGATCCACAGTAGATCTAGCTGGAAAATGTTATTTCAGCATACGATCGACCAAATCCTATCGGTTGTCTACCAATACGATGACTCTAGCCACCTTCTAACGATGGTGGCCAGCTGTCGGTATTTAGTGGATGGGTTAGAGTATTTTTATTAATTTTCAATGTTTTATTATAAGGGTGTATTTTTATTAATTTTTAAACCCTACTTCATAATAACCACTAAACTCTTACTTTTTCAAAAATCTTATCTAAAATAATAAAACAAACACACTCGAAGTCAGAAATATTCCTATTTGCTTTACCAATAATTGATTTTCCTTAATATGTCCATTAAAGAGTAAGAAGTAACATTGTGAACTGTTAAGGTCCCAGCCGGATAAATAAATGATATCGAACGGATCGCAGTAATGTAATATTCAAATTAATACAAAGCTCTTGCATTTGCTGGGAATCAACGGACTAGACTTTGATCATGTGCAGATTAAAAACCGCCGCATTGGTTTTGAAAATAAGATACGAAGATTACACATCATACACATGTGATCTTACTGAATCAAACGCAGGCCAGTTTAAAAATTTTAAAAGCACATGCCACGTTAATGAGTATTTTTTCTTGTCATCCCTAACCTTTGGTGTTATGACTTTTTGGTCCCAACTTTTATTTCTCTTGAATCATTGTGTTAAGAAATTTAGAAATTTTATTTTTATCTTGAATTTGGATTACAACTTCTTTTATTTTGAATATTAATTAACGAATGCTATTTTGTGTCGTAAATTTTTTCTTAATCTATTAGCTTTTGGGTTTAAATTGTCACTTATTAAAAGGAGCCATTATTTGGTACGCACCATTATTTGGTACACAATATACAAATGATAGCCACCTTCCTTAGCTGTACTCTATTTACCCATTTTCATTTTTTTTTAATATATATCTTTAAAAGAAAAAGGAAAAAGGAAAAAACGAAAAAAGAAAAAAGAAAAAAGAAAAGATAGTAAAAGAAAAAGAGAAAGCGCTAACTTTCTTTTTCCTTTATTCCTCAAAAGTCCCAAACCTTTCCTGTGACTGCCCAACTGCTCGGAGAATGGAGACGCATCTCTGAGACCGAGAAAAAGAGATTTGTAGTTGCGGGCTTAGAAGTTTTATTTCTTTGTGGAGTTAGTGTGAAGAATAGTTTTATGAGGAAATGGGATCAGCCAGCATCTCCAATTCCAGCTTAGAACATGATAATTGTGACAACAGTGACACCCAGGTGGTTTTAAATGTTTACGATCTCACCCCTGTCAATAATTATACCTATTGGTTTGGTTTCGGGATTTTTCACTCCGGCATTGAAGGTTTGCTTCTTTTTGCTTTATTTGGGTATCTCTATGTGGTATTCACGTTGTTGAATTTGTCTTTCAATCTTTTTCTCTTTTAATTTTTTACAGCTTACTAATTTTGGGATTTTTTATATTTGCTTAGATCTTATGGGGCAAAGGTTTTTTTTTTTTTTTCTTTTGCTTGATTAAAGAGTCAAAATTTGAATTCATGTTTGTAATTCAGACGTCAACTTTATGGGGTTCTTGTTGCAGATTGATTTTAATTTTTTGCATGTATGATAGACGTGCTTCTCAATGTTTACAGTTCATTAGCCTTCTCTTCTTATTTTTTTCAGAAAAAAGGGCAAAAAAAGGGAATGTTTGATGGATGGATCATTTGATGTTAAACTATTTTTTATACTGTAACTTCCCTTGGACTTTATTTTAACAAAGAGAAAGAAGTTTTAATTCATTAGTGCCTAAAAATCTTCAATCTTGAAGACAGTGTAAAATTTGTTATGCTTCATACAAGCAATATGAGTCAGTTGCACTTGAAAATATTTGGTCTAAACAATGAGCTTTTGGTTCCAGGTTTAGTGCAGAATAGGTGATGTTGTTTGTACTTCAACAGGGACAAAACTAAGTATTTGAATTGTCTACTGATTAGAGCCTCAGACACTGGATTTAAACTTGTCTCATGCAACTTTAAGTATTTTATATACTCAAAATAGTTGGGAATAAGTTGTGATCCTTTGACTTGTATAATGGAATTGAATAAATTGGTTCATGGTTGATGTGTGCCCTGGAGGAAGGCTGGTAGAAGTGTGGAACATATAATGGGAATTGGGGAGAAAGTGATATTCTGATAAATGTTTAAGATTCACGAAAACGATATTAATTAGAAACCTGATATTTGCTTGAATTGGGGAGAGAGTGACTTGATGAACTATTTCATCCTGATCCGTAGAAGTCCATATAGTGAATGTTCATCATTACCAGAGAGTTTCCTGATCAATAAATTCATGTAGATCTACAACTAGTCCAAAAATGAAAGAACTCATTATATTTGAATTTTTGTTCAATACATATTGTTTCTTATTGCCTTTTCACAGCTCAACTCACTAGAACATCTGAATTTATTGTGTGAACAGTTCATGGTAAGGAGTATGGTTTTGGAGCACATGATTTCCCAGTTAGCGGAGTTTTTGAAGTAGAACCAAGGAGCTGCCCTGGATTTATTTACCGATCTTCCATCCCATTGGGACGCTTAAATATGCCTTCCTCTGAATTCCGGACGTTTATTGAGTCTGCAGCTTCTGAGTACCATGGAGATACTTATAATCTCATTTCCAAGAATTGCAACCATTTTACTGATGAAATCGCATGGAGATTGACAGGCAAACATATCCCTGGGTGGGTAAATCGGCTGGCCCGGATAGGTACAAAAAGTTCTTCCTGTTTATTGATCTTCCAATTCCTGTAACACATTGCAACTTGCAACTAATAACAACTTTGGATGATGTATTGGCCTTAAACCCAAGGAATATGTGGGGTGAGTAGCTGCCCCTGAGGCTCAGCCAAAGGAGTTACCGACCGCCAAATTGTGTTATAATATGCCCAATTAAAGATATATTCATCAGAATACATTAGGTTTCAAATTATGGTCTTTGATCTGTCCTTTCCTAGATTTCAAAAGATATAGCCTTTAGTTTTAAGAATTTGAAGTTTACTTTTCTTTTCCATAAATAGTTACACAATTTCTTTTACACCCTAAAAGCTGAACAATCTGAAAATTTAATAGAATGCATCACGTGTTCCATATTTCAGGTGCTTTGTGCGGTTGTCTTCTTCCTGAAAGCCTTCAAGCTACTTCTGTTAAGCAGCTACCTGAGTACCACGAGTGTACGGGTAAATATTATATATCATGAATTATTTTTCTTCTGAATATTGTTCAACTTAATGTTTAGTTCACTTGTTACTTTTAACTGGTTCTAATATTTGCAACATATGGTTTTGCCTTTTTCTGCATTCTTTCCTAAAGAAGATGGTACTGAATCACTGTCAACAGCCACTCCTCGTGAGTCAATTGAAATTGATGATGATGGAGAGAAACTCTTGTTGTCACCACCAGCTGGCAGTGGGGAAGTGGCTTTTGTTAAAGAAAGGGAGAAGTGAACTGTGGTTGCTTTCAAGGGAAAAAATTTGCCCTTTGGACCGATTATTCTCATCTTAAGTAGATACTTGCTTGGAATGGCCTGCATCCCATTTTGGGAGGTAAAGTTACCGGAGATCATTTACCATCGGTAGCACACGTGATTGCTTGCTGGATGTTGATTTTTTTCCAAATTACTCATTGTTTCAATCATTTTTCTTCTCTTTCCCCATTCTTTTCTTTGGTTTGATGGGGTGAAGAATTTTGAACTAGAAAATAGCTTGTTGTAATTGATTTTTTGTACTAGTGTTTTGTATGAGCTTCTTTGAAGTAGAAACAATATCTCAATAACTGTTCAAATGTTTGATATAGTTCATGATTTGAAGGCATAGACATTTTCCTAAACATATGAAATGTTCAAATTGCATGTAGTTTCTAGGGGGACCGTGATACCCAGAGAAGCTCTTCCAAAAATATTACATTGCTTATCAGGGCACCTGAAGGATATAGAGTTTGCTCCAAATTAGTTTGCATGAACAAGTTTGAATCTTAGGGAAATTTTGCATATATATTTAGAGTAAACGACATTTTCCCACCTAAGGTTTGGTGAATCTGCAAGTTTCCACCCTCGGTTTCATAAATTACAGATTCTCACCCTTAAATTAATAGAAAATTGTTTAATCTAACAATTAAAAGGGTAAAATGGTCATCTCAAAGATGAAAATTTTGAAATGACCCTTTACTTCTCAAATTCACGCCACCAGAAAATTTTAAAATAACCATTCACTTCTCAAATTCACCCAACCAGTGATTTCAGGCCATTCCGACCTGTTACCTGCACAATCGACCCCTCCCGACACCACAATTACAGTCCCCTCAACCCTCACATCAAAACCCCTAACCTCCTCGCTTGATTGAACCCTCCAATCGTCGGTCGTCACTTTTAGTGTCAATCGACGTTTCATCCAAATTCCGGCAGGTCCTGGCATCGAAAACCACCCCCAAGACCACCAATAGCATTGTCGGCTTCCTCCCACCAAAGCCCCAACATCCCGACTGCAATTGCTCATCGATCGTCATCGCCTCTTCCTTTGGTTTTCGCGTTTTGTCACCCATTTCCAGCCAAATTCTTGCACCTCGTCGAGGCGCAATCGAGTGGAAAAGTTAAGCATTTTGGTGAGGAGGATAAGGGGATGTTGATGGTGGTGTCAATGAGGTCCAATGGTGTCAAAATTAGGCCAGATTTTTGGCTTGGCCGGGATCTCTTCTGGGGGTTATTTGAGAGAAATTTGAGATATGAGGGTTATTTTGAGAGAAAAGTAACAGTATTAATTTAAGGGTGGAAATTGCAATTTATGAAACCAGGGGCGGGAACTGTAGATTCGCCAAACCTTGGGTGGGAAAATGGCGTTTACTCTATATATTTATAAGCAACTGTAAACTTTACTGGTAATTGATGGCAGTCCTCATCATGTAAGTGATAAACCTCGAGCTCCCTCTTATATTCTTGATGGTTTATATGAACTATGAACTTAGGCCTCCAACGTATTACGTATCAACTCTTCAAGGCTCAAGCCAGTAACATAAAATTCATACAAATATAGGAGAGTTGGAATTTGATTTTAGGGCCTAGTTTTTACTGAGGCATGGGCTTTTGAGATGACCTATTACATATGGTCCAGGTTTTTATTTTATTCTTAATCATATGTAGTCTGGCGGTTGCGAAATTCAAACGCAATATCGTCCTTTAATATTGTACATTTTTATTGAACAACGGAGTCGTTTGGCAATGATAGAGAAACTGGCAAAAGCAAGTTGCCACTTAAGTAATAAGATAGTATATTCCTGATGAATGCACAAGATAAATAGCTATGCTCCAGTTGCAACCATAATCTGTCATTCTCCTGATTACTGAAAAAGGTGGCAAGAAAACAGAAATATGAAAATTTCAAGAGCAAATGTAGTCCCTATAGTTGTTATAAGTCCCAAATTTCATTTTATTTATTTCTTCCCGATCACGCTGATTCAGAGAAGTTGGCAAGGCAAATAAAAAAAGAATCAGCAAGTCACTACCAGTTGCATGGAAATGAAAATAGAGACAAGTTAAAAACATAGCAATAACCGTCCAGACTTCATGACAAGCAAGTTGATGACCCAAACTACACACGTCTTAAAGATTTACCAATAAGGTTTCTTGTAGATCCAACAGTTAAAACAATATGAAATACGCCAGGACTAAATAAGGGAAATGCATGGACCAAGTTCGCTATAGCATGTATGTAAAAACCAGAACCATTTTGAGCTACTAAATTTTTATCCTTGAAACCATCAACAATTTTCTCCTTCCTCTTCAATTTTATGAAATCAAGATTTGCAGTTGTCACGTTATGAAGAGCTCCCCTCAAGTCCCAATTTAGATGTTAGCCAAGCACAAACCTCATCCATCTCTTCAGGGATTGTGTAGTGGCCAAGCCTGACAGTCAAGAAAAGGAAAAGGAATCAGAATTTTACAATAATAAGTTATCAAAACCAAACAAAGAAGTCTTACTGGTGTTACATACCCATTGTAAGATTTGAATGTCACATCCCGAAACCCATTTGAATTCAAGGATAGTGAGGACTTTTCACCAAATTTATATTGAACCACGTCATCACCTGCAACCAACCATGCCAAATCAATTTGTTAAGACCTGCAACTTATGTCACCAATAACTACAATGCCAGTGCTGAAACTAGAGCAAATCTTCAATTAGGGTTGAATACGAGACCATGAACTGGTGATTGAACATCTAGAGCAACGGATGGCAACCATTGACCATCTTCTTGACAAGCAAATAACAGGAAGAAGATATATAAAGTAGTAAAATCATTCTTGTTCTTCCATTACAAAAACAATGTGAATGTATTATGAAATAATAAGTGCGCTGCCTTTTATGTGACTTCTATTGTAAAAAAAAACATGAAGATGGCATTATGCTGCTGAATTACACATTGTCCATCCTACGGGCAGCTCTAATAGCTGAAATTTGATGAGAGCCGTTTTTGTCAATGAAACAAGAATCATGAATAAAACTACACAAAAGACATTAACTAGCAAGGGACTAAAATGATATGCAAAATGAGAGGATTATATGGCCACAAAAGATTAGCTTTGACCAGCATTAAAGATTTTAAGCCTCCCAATGACCATATATTGACACTGGCATAAACATATTCCAATAAGCAGCAACAAAAACAGAAGATAAATAATGAAAGTGGTGAATGGTCAGTTTATGATCATCTAAGCTTATATTCTACTCATAATCACAATTTGTTACTCATAGAAAAAAGAAAGTATACCCTAAAGCCAATGATATAACATAAAACCTTTCAATTGAATATAAATTTCACGACAAAAAAAAACCAGCATGTTCCTATGTGAGATAGTAAGGACGACCTTTGCCATGACAAAGCAAAATGGGCAAAGATGAAGCACGCCTTGCAGCTTCGTTATCTCCTCTTAATTTGCTATTCAAAGTCCTGGAAAAGCACATAAATTAGGCACCATAAGAAATGGAAATATGCCTAGAAAGTATCAAGTTGAGGTAAATATATGAAGACAAACTTTGAACAAGGAAGCCAGCCACTTAGTCCCACAACTGCACTTAAGTTGGCAGGGTATGTATTGCCATTTGCATATTTTCCCTGAGCGAAGCAGGTTGCAGAGTATAGTGAGGTTGCTGCACCCATACTGAAGCCTCCAATACCAAGTTTAACTATGACAGAAAATATTATGATAATATTAGAACTAGAACAAGAGCAAAGTTGGCATTTTCAAGATTAAAACTTAGGAGTAATTAGTACATTGCATGGGTTGGAAATTAATCCATTGTTCTCCCCATTGCATTTGAAAAAGTAAGTTCACCTCTTAAGTGTACATTCATATAAAAACCTGGCGTAACCACTATTAGTGATCATAAGGAGAAATAGATCCATTACACAAAAGCAATGCAAAATACTTGTCTCACATGCAAAACAAGCCTCTTTAGTTGAACTTATACGTGTGACACAATGCAATGGTGCTATGCCCATTTGAATAATCAAATATCCTATTAGTTCATGATGCAATTTGAGAAGCAGAAGTCCATAAATCAACTCCACAGTAACCTGATAATGATATTTAAGTTTGCATGAGTGTATAAAAGCACAATCCTTTTGACCTACAGATTGGAACATAGTGTGGCAAATTGTGCTCCAAATAAATGACACAGATTGACACTGCAATGCTTTCTATGTTACAAAAGTCTAGCTCAGAAACAGCTCTAGATGATATGCTCTTACTCTGTATCAGATAGCTAAGATAACATAAGCAATTAAACTGAATATTTGGCATTTTGAAAAAGGTAAACAGTTAAGCAGCTGTGGCATGATATTAAGTTTCTCATATCACTCCAACAATCAAAATGCTTGAAAACATCAACAACATAAACATCTAAAAGAATAACTTTCCAAACTGATAAAGCATTGCCAAATGTATAGCATCATCACATACCAAAGATCTGAAAGAAGAAACTTACTGTCAGCAGGCTCAGTTGACAACAAATTTGCAACATGCAAGGCTGCAGCATCTAAACCCTCTAAATCATCGGGACCATCTTCCGAAAGATCTCCCACATCAAACCCTGATTTAATCACATAAGCATTTCAGGTAAAAGCAATTAAGGTCTCAAACAGAAGATTATGTTGAAGCAAGATTTTCATTTCTAACATCCAAAACTGAATCTTCATTTTCAACAGATTGTTAGCAAAGATGAGAGAGTGGAGTCTTGTTATAGTTAATATCGTAATTATTTTTCTTTCATTTTTCAAGGTGCTTAGGGATAATATTGTACAACTTTGATAGACAGCGACATGAGTATTATGTGATTTTTCATTTAAAAGAATATATTACAAATCAGGCAACTATTCTTACAAGCAGTGGATGGAAAGCCACCAAATATAGTCATTGGTTGAGTAGGGGCAGTAGGACAAATCCATTTAATCTGCATCATACAATTACAGTCATAACAAGTTACGAACTTCTCAATGAAATCAAAACAACTCTTCCAAATAAATTCGAAAAAGGCAAGTTTCGTTAATGCAAGTGCTCCTAAAGAATTAGGATGCGATCACTCTTACATTTGGAAGAGGAAGAGTCTCCAAGAGCTGTGACCAGCTGCAAATAGGATCAAAGCATAAATGAAACTTACATTTTCATATACAGATAGATACCTATATACATTTTCATACACATGAAACCTACATTTGCTTTGCAAAAGTTTTGCAAAGCGAGCATGCATAACTAACAAAATAATTGATCTTAAATATATATAAAGAATTACTGGAGAGAAGACAGCAATGAAAATTTGACAATACCTCGAACCATTGTCACCAAGACCATGAAGCCAAACCACAGTAGCTTGGTGTTTACCTTTGGGCCTGATCACATAGGTCCTTCCAAACTCAAGAGCTCTTCTAGCAGTTTTACCCCCTTAAAAGGTGTTGTAATAAAATTCATTAATAAAAAATGCTGAAGATTATAAAAGAACTTTCATAGTAACCATCAACTTTTCCAAACAGTAACTGATGGAGCAAAAAAAATAAACTAACCGGAACTCATGGAAGGGCCAGTAAAGCTCATGTTAACCCTAAAAAATTATCAGTAAGAAGAGAACGAATCCTGAAATAGATTAGGACCCAGATTAATAATTACCCCCTGAAGTAAATGAATTAATTCAATGTAGCACTCTTATCAATTTGACGATGTTTCTCACAAACAACATTATCATAAATGAGCTAAAGAAAAGGTTTAGTATTCAAACATTGTTAATATCAAAATGAAACCAATAATTTATAATAACACCACAAAAATATAAGAACCATAATTAGACCCAAAAAAAGGGGGCAGTAATATAATTAATAGAAGACAATAACCATTATAATTAACAAAAGGCAACCTCCAAGAAAGAATTTGATGTTGAAACAGAGGATAACAAAGTGGAAATATTTAGTAATGAGATCAAAATTAAGGAGAAAATAGGTTTTAGGGTTTAAAGAGATTACCAGAAGGGTAAGGTTCGATATGATAACTCCAAGGAAAGACGAGCTGTCTGGCTTTGCTCTAGCTCGGTCCCCAAACTTTTGGTCCGATAATCCTTGTTTTTCTTCTGTTTTGTTTTTTGTCGTTTTACGATGTTACTAATATTTATGTCTGATTATTGTCGACCGTTGAATGTTGATCAATGCGTATAAGTTGTTTATAATCGTCTTATTTTCTAAAAAATAAATTTCATATTTATTTATGTCCAGTCCATATCACATATTACATTGACAAATCATATAATATATTTTTTTTCTAAAAGTAACGGAAAATAAGGTAATTAATTAGTTATATTTATATATCAAATGTTGTGGAAATTGTAATATTTATAAATTATACACTCTCTTTATCTCAACTATGTTACACAATAATGTTAAGAAAAAATTTTAAAAATTAATTGAGGAAATATTTCTGTTGTGTGTGATTTTTCCACTAAGCTCAGGTTACTGCGAGGATGTAGCTCGACCCAATATCAGTCCGACTCCATCGGTTGTTCGACCTAGCATAAGTTCGTCAACATATAACTCGATCTAGCACAAACTAGTCGTGAACAACTCGAATGATTATTCAATCAATTCCCAGACAACTTCAGATCCTAGATATTGCGGGAATTACTAGATCAATAGCAATCTTTGCGCAATTACAACACCCAATCGCTAGAATATCGGAATTATAGTTCATATCAATTGTAATCCCTTTATTTTCGCTATTTCCTTTGTACAAAACCTGTATATAAACCCCTCCAAATGATGAAAAATGGGTTACGACATTCTCACATAATTCTCATTGTAAGCTCTCACAGCAAATACGAAACACAGTGGACGTAGGCTCAAGACTTTACCTCGCTGAACCACTTTAAAAATTCTCATTGTCATTTACTTTATTGCATTCAATATTTGTCTATCACTGATCATCCGTAATCACGTGCACATCCATTCTGATCCTGCAAAGGTCGATCATAATTCTCTGGTTAATGCGGACTTTTGTGTCAACAACCGCACCAAATAAAGATGGATAATTTAATAATTTATATACATTAGAATAAAAAATAAAAAAAATTGAATGTATGGTATATAAATTTCAATAAGATAAGATATGATGTCAAGTCAAAAGATGGAATGAGTCTTTCAATCCCAATTTGTTTTATAAGCTATCTTTCAAAGGAGTTTAACATTAAATAATTAAGAATAATTATATTCCGCAAGGACCGCAACCCTTCATGAATGGGTAAGAAATTAAATTCAGCAATTTTTCTAATACGTAATTATATTATAATTTAAAATTTATCATTATCATTATCATTTTTTGAAAACAAAAAATGTTACATTTTAATTGATAGTATAAACCCAAAATTGATTAGATTTGTGTAATTTTTGTTTTGGGACTAAAGAATATATGAAAACTGTGTTTCAGTTTGTGGTGTTTCTGTATACGCGTATTTACATAAGAACAAGATGGGGACAGAGTTGACTTTTATTTTGGTCCATTAAATAGAAATATACCCTCTCAAATCAAGTTAAAGTTTTCAATATAGCCAATATTATTAGACCATTTGGTTGTTGGATCATCATTTTGTACACATTCTGCACTGCACACCTTTGTTTTGCCAACTGTTCCATAGTCTGATGCTGCTAGCAGAAAAGCTCATTACTCTTTTCAACTTTCTATTTACTTGATTTTGTGAAACTGCTGCTTTGTGTTATATTTTTGGGGTCAGCTTTCCTTTTTCACTATTCCCATTCAGTTTTTTTCTCATGTTTCCATTGAGCAACTGTAGAGTTACTGTACAGGGAAATGAATCAATAATTTTTTACAGGAAAGCTATTTAGCTTTGTTTTAACATATATAGGATTGACAAAGTGACATTACACCTATTCAAAGATCTTGTATTCTATAATCTTCATATTTCCATAAACTTTTGTCAAGAAAAAAATTTAGTAAAATATCGATGTAAACCACAAAAAGAAATTACAGATTACCAAAAAGAGAACCAAAGTCAGGCAACATTCTTAAAGCTACCTTCCGGAGAGAACTGACATGGCGTAAGAGCATGTTGATGTAGTGGGAAGAGTTGTATCAACTTCAGGAGACAATGATGCAATCTTTTTCTTGCCATGGTCACCACCATCAGGTTGATCTTCTTCATCAATTGATAACAAATCAACAATAACCATTTCGGTCTCCGGTGGCTCATCTACTGTTACACGCCCTTCGAGCATTTCCACTACCCGAGCCATACTAGGCCTCAGCCTAGCCCTCTCCTGTATGCACCAAAAAGCTACATAAATCAATCTCTTTACCTGCCTCTCATCAATTTTCAGTCCATTTTCAATCAGTCTATTGTCAACAACTTCCATAAGCTTCCCTTCTTTTATTTTCTCCTTTACAATTTTCGGAAAGTATTGCCATTTCCTTTTGGACTTGTCATTGCCTTGTTCAATCAGGCAAACATTTCTTCGCCCTCCTATCATTTCTAAAAGAACCATCCCATAACTATAAATATCAGATTTTTCCGAAATTCCACGCTCCAACAGCCACTCTGGGGCTAAATAACCTCTTGTGCCCCGGACTGTTGTAACAACTCTGCTTTCATCTCTTCTCATTAACTTTGATAGACCAAAGTCTGACACAATTGCTCGATAATTCTCATCGATAAGTATGTTTTCTGGCTTGACGTCAAGATGTAATATCCTTGACCTGCAATCATGATGAAGATAAGAAAGTGCCTTGGCCACATCAATGGCAACTCTATACCTTAAATCCCACGACAAGCAACCCCCTCGGGAATTCCCACTTCTTCTTCTTCCAGGGAAGATCCAATTATCAAGTGAACCATTCGGAATGAACTCATAAACAAGGTGTCGAGGCCCTCCAGGAACAATACAGAAACCAAGAAGGCGTACAAGATTTACATGTTGCACACTAGCAATGGCTGAAACTTCTGATTTGAATTCTTTTTCGCCGTGTTCCTCGCCGTCGATCCTCTTCACAGCAACAGCAGTACCATCATTTAGTATGCCTTGGAAAACAGAAGCTGATGCTCCTTTGCCTAAAAACGATTGGAAATTGTCGGTTGCTTCTTCAAGTTCCTTGAATCTGTACTTTATGGGAACTCCTGCAACTCTTCTAAGGAAGCTATATTCTATCCGAAGCTCTCTGCCTGCTGAGCTCAGTTGTGTCTCCAACAACTTTCTTCTGCGATCGTAACGCCTTCTGATTATTAAATAGGCGAAAACAAAAAGGATCACTGCGATATCTGCCCCTGCAATTAGGAAGAAAACTTTGGAAAGTTTGAGTGAGACACGAGCAATAATGATAACTAAGATGAGGGCAATGACTGTTGAAGCAGCAATTACGAGAGCTTTCTTGTCCTCCATTAGAGCTTCATTCTAAAGATTCTCTTTCTGTGTATTTTCATGTTCTCTGACTGTCCAGAGAAAAACCAATGTTGACTGTTTGCTATCCTAGAAAAGTAAGGTGCATAGCATTTTTATGTTATTTAATATCAATAAGGCAAATAATTTTCTTCTATAAATCGTCAACTGTTGAAGTTTCGGGGTTGAGTTTATTTGAATTTGAATTAAAAGAAACCACCAAGAACTTCACCTAATCTTCCTTGTTCATTTATTTCAAAGGGTAAGCCTTTTTCAGATGGTTTCTTCATAAAAACTATTCAAATTCTTTATTTTTTTTTAAGCTCTGAAATGGTCAATAGTGTATGATTTATATTTTATTGAGAGAAAGTAAGTCTTCTCCAAAGAGTAAAGACCCAGCAATGTCTCACACCTGCACGTCGTTCTTCACATAATAGACTGCTTTCACCATAACCATAAACTAAGTGAAAGAACATTTTAGACCTATTCTGTCTTGTCTGTTTCTGTTTTGTCTTCCGGATCCTGGGCTATGGCTACCCACATCCAGTAGTGATGATGAAAGCAAACGGGAAAAACAAATCTTATGTGGGGGAAATACAAGAAATTTATAGATTTTTTACTTCTTGTCTTTCAAGATTTAAAGTATATATATATATATATATGTTAATGGTCATGATAAATAAAATATCAGATGTCCTGACAAAATATATCTCAAATCATCGCCATAATCAAAGGTTTTTACACATCCTATGAGTTTATACTTATCTATTGACTCATTCAAATCTTTATTTTTATAGAACCAAGTCAAGACAAGACTCATAGGATTAATCAAAACCTCTATCTTCTAATGGTTGACGCCTTCAAAACACTTCGCACTTAGTTTTGTTATTACAACAATATACATAAGTGTAATATAATGCATAAGATCGATGAAAATGAAAGATAAATTTCCCAAAGAATCAGAAGAAGTCCACCATCATGAATATACAAATAAAAGCATAAGCCAAAACCGAGCCGTCGAAGAGTTCCATAGATCCAGTAGAATGATCAGAGCATGTCATTATCTTTTACTTCTGTAACTGCTCCTTGTTAAGACTCTTTCTACCTGAAGTTGGTGTAATTCGAATGAATTGATACATTTTCAAAGCTTAGTGCTGCTAATATTCCTTTTAGACATTCGCAGCACTGGTTTTAATATTTCAGTTGGAAGAGGGGACAAATTAAAGTTTTTGTTGTTTAACAAGCATTGACCTGATATGCCATTTGCAGGGTTTAGATTTGTTTTTTTTTTAAAAAAAAAAAATAAAAAGAAAAACCATTGACAAATTGTGAGACAAGGACTAAACAAGGTTTGGCTATTCTGTAAGACTTTTGTTGATGCTAGATTCTAACACCAACTAAACGATACGTGCGCAACGTTGATTGGTCAAGAAACACACGTGATTATGGATAGAGCATAGGAAATAAATGCAATGAGAGCTTTTAAAGTGGTTCGGATGCTAAGGTAGCAAGTCCTACGTCCACTGATTTGTATTAATATGGTGGGTTAGGTCGCAAAAGCGGACTGACTTACAAATGATTGGGGAAAGTAAAAATACAATTTCTAGAGAGAGAGAGTTCAAGTGGAAAAGTAGCCGAATCCCCTTAATGAAGGGGTCTTCTTCTTTTTATATCAAGCTGAAGGCGTGTAATCATCATTAAATCCATGGGTTGGTGTGATTGTCAGGACATAATCTGGCTTTACGTCTCATTGCCCATTTCCCAAGCTGATTTCACTCGATTTGGAGCAGGGAAACGGACACGTGGGAGCTACACGGCGCATGGCAGGCCTAACGTGCACTTACCGTTCTGATGGGAGCAGGTCACACTTCATCACGTGACTCCACGTCAGCCCTTGACTTCCCAGGCATAACAGAAGTCCCCTAGTTTTTAAGGTTTGAGGATCGAACCTTGGAAACTAAGTCATGCCGCGATTGGAGGTTCTGGTCACTTCGACCTGAATGGGAGAAGCTCGGGACAGGGTCTTTTGCGAACACGACCTCGCACTCTGCCCAAACGACCTGACAATCGTCACCCCAGCGACCTGGATTCATCGGACGCTTCTTACCGTGCCTTAGGGTTGGAGATCCAATGAGTCTGCTCCCACGCTGTCAGGTGCTCTGCACGTGTTAAAGCGTCTGGCAGTAAATGCGTTGCGTGCTGACCCGACGTGGTTTTGACAGTATTAACTGCGCGATTCATTCGAAATGACGATCCTCATCAGAGCATTGAATGCGACGTGGGGCGCATTTAATGCGGAGAGAAAGAGAGAAGGCTGTCGTTTCGCTTTCGAGGGATGGAAACCGTCGGTTCGCAGTCCATATAAAAACTCACATTTTTCAGATGACGCCACTAAAACCCCTTTTGCCTCGAGTGACAAGCCTTTGCAAACCGGAAGTTCCTCTTTTCTGATTGGCGTCTCTCAGATATCTGAAACAAGATTCGGCCTTGGTCACGCGTCCCAGAAGGTAAGACCCTTTTTCTTCTTCCTTTTTGTTTGGTTGGTAGGCAATGGCGTTGGGTCTCCTGGTGTTTCACCAGAGGCACGACGCCGTCGTCGGATTCGAGCCGTGGATGGTGGCTCAAGTTACTATTAGGGTTTAAGGAATTTGTATTACTTGTCCCGGCGACCTACCATCACCGATGGGATACATAGCTATCCCAGCAACGCGGGGGCCTACGAGACAAAATTCTTCTTTTCTGCTATGACGGCTACTGCCGCTTTTAGAAACCAAGTAGGTTCTTCTTTGCTAGGTTCATTGTATGTTCTCATGCTTTATAATAACGACATGCTTTCTTCTTTTGCAGTTAATAGAACGACCAGCCAAGACCTGCTTGACGACTCGGATAGGCTCGTGTCTTTTGGAGTCCTTCCCGAGGAAAGCCGGGACGCGAGGAAGCTCGTGACAACCGCGAACTTGCGAAAGTACGGTTTTATTAGTAACAATGCGTCTTTAAAGCCCCTAGAAGGTAAGTTACACCGATTTCCTTTTGGTCGCAGAATAATTTTGTTTACTAATGTACTTGCATGCAACAACTATGCCTCCGAAAGAGTCCGAGTAGCCTCGCTGAGCACCGTTCGTCTTCCTTCGATCGAGGAGAGAGAGAGCGGCCGAAGCTGCTTGTCCCATTCTGGCACAACCGGTGTGAACAGTAGTACCTTCCCAGCCCCGTCCTGTGCAAGAAGCGACCAGGACAGAATAGGTCGCTCAGGCACCACCTGCTCGCTCAAGGCGGAAGGCTCTGGCCCAGAGGTCAAAGAAGAGGAAGCAGATTCAGGTCGACGAGTCAGAGACCGAATCTGAGGAAGAACCTTTGAGGTCGCGACAGGACTCAAGGAGGTCGGGCAAGGAACCCGTGAGCAAGGCGATCGCTGCTGACAAGGCGAAGGACGCACTAGTGCTGGACTCATTGGGGAGTCTGCCTGAATACCTACAGCCGATAGTCTACGGTCTGCTCGAGTGTGTGCTATCGGAGTCATATGACGAGTTTGTCGATATGGGCGACGACCTGATGACCACATCATTCCAGCATCTAAGCAAGGTACACGAACTGCTCTTTAGGGTTTGTCCGCCGTTTTCATTCTAAACTCGCTTCTTGCTCACAGGCTTTGCTTGCGATGAGGATGTTTATGGAGAAGACTCGGCTGGGGGCCGCGAAGGGGGCCAGCGACCTAAAGGAGGAGCTCACGAAGCTCAAACAGAGCCTGGAGTCCGTCAAAGCAGAAAGAGCGTAAGCATTCGAAGCGGCGGGCAGGTACCTAGACCAAAAGGATGCCGCTTTAAGGACAGTGGACTTCCAAAAGGCGGAGCTTGAGCGACGCGCGGAGGAAGTGAAGGAGCTTCAGAGGACAACTGCTAGGCTCTCTAAGGAGGTCGAAGAAAAAGACCAGGAGATCTAGGCGACCTCCGCATGGGCTCAGCGAGCTGAACAAGAAAGGGAGGCCTCCGAAAAGGAAAGGCAAGCTCTTGAGGCCGAACTCCAGGAGAGTCGGGAAAGAATCGCTTCTCTGACTGAAGAAATGCGGATCCAGTAAGAGGAGGTGGAGGATAAGGCCGTAGACTGGGCAATCGGGTCTATTTATTCCCTGTAACCAAAGAACCCAGATATGGATATTTTCGACCTCCCAGAGGGGTGGCAAGAGGCCTTGCGGATCTTGGGGGAAGAAGACGATCAGGTAGCAGCGGCCACCCGAGCATCCGACTAGGCAGAGGGTTCTGGTCCTGCTTCGAAGGATCCCCCCGACCAGCCATAATGTAAAGAGTTTGACTCCATTGAGATTGGGTCTTAATTTTTGTTTGTACATAAATGAAAATACATTTTGCTTTCAATTGTTGTTCGCCTTTTCATACATAAGTACAGTTTACAATCCAGATTTACATAGGCAATTACATACGAATTCTTCCACGTGAACAGAACACATGCGAACTGTTTCAAGCGAACAAAATAATACTTTTACATTAAAGAGGAAACTAACAAAAACTGAGAGTTGAGTTCGGGATTACTGATAGTATGGCCGGAGGTGCTCGGCATTCCAAGCTCAGGGTACTTTGGAACCGTTCAATCTTTTGAGATGGTAAGTCCCCGGTCTGATCACCTTGTCGACTCGGTACGGTCCTTCCCAGTTAGGTCCTAGTACCCCTGCACTTGGCTCTCTGGTCCTAAGGAGAACTTCCTTTAGCACAAGGTCCCCGACCTGGAAGTCTCTTTGTTTGACCTTTGAATCGAAAAACCTCTTTGCCCGCTGCTGGTAGGCTGCTATCCTTAGCGAAGCCTTGCTGCGGTGCTCTTCAACGAGATCCAAACTTGCCCTCATTAGTGCTTCGTTTTCAACCTCGTCGTACAAGTCTCTCCGAAGAGAACCAGTTCCCACCTCTACAAGAATCATTACTTCGCAGCCGTAGGCTAGCCAAAAAGGGGTTTCTGAGGTGGATGTTCTCGGGGTTGTCCTGTACGCCTATAAGACCTCTGGGAGATCGTCAGCCCAATTTCCTATGGCTGCCCCGAGCTTAGCCTTCAGAGTGTGCTTGATGGTCTTGT